TGAGCGGTTTGAATCCACCAGATGCTCTGCTGGAGAAGGAGGGACAATCTCCTCCTGTACCAGTCAGATCTGACTTGACAGTCCACACACATACACAACCCCCCCCTAAAAAAAACCCCTTCCAGCCTTGTATCAAAGAAGGCTATTAAAACAACAGCAACAAAACCCCCAAACCCAAAAACAATTAAGCAATAAATAGTTCCCAGAAGTGATTAGGAAGGAAAAACCTTAACTGGATACTGCTAAATTTGCTTTGATCACAAAGTGTTCTATTTCCTCTCCTCTTTCTTTTCTTTTTTATGTTTTATGCTGAATAAAAGTACCTTTCTTTGTAAAAAAAGCATGTTTCCGTAGGACAGCTCAGATCAAGGCAGCCAGCCATAAATTGTCACAAGACCCAGGAACTAATCCAACACAAGCAGCCTGGAATTAGCTAATACAGGGAGTCCCCAGTGTTTCTTACTAACAACTTTTAACTTTAGTAACCATTCCTGTTTTAAGTTATCTGAAAGAGCATTAAGGTATTATTACACACTTACAGAAGTAAAGAGTAACTCTTACATGACCTTCCTGAGAAAGCAGCCATGGAAAGGAAAGCTATGGCAGAAGCCTGGTAATTACAGAGGCTAGCTGTGTGTGCCTCCTGGTCTGTACAATGCCACCTTTTCTATGATAGCCTTTCCCTCCTCAAAGTGCTAAACACGAGCCCTTTCTCACGGCATTAACCTGAACTATAAATACTCCCTCAGAACTTCTTCTGTTTTGAGATGTCATTTTTCAAGGCGCTAGCTGCCATCTCCATTTTATTTGCTACAGGTCAAAATGAAGTTTGCTTTCCGACACAGTTGTAATTCTTTCTAGAATAAAAGACAAGAATCCTTTGAGTCCATTGGGCCTGTGTCAATTTTTCAGTTTGTTCCCCAGAGTGAAGGACCCTCAAGGTTTGTGTTCACAAACTGAAAAACTGACCTAGAGAGAAATTAAAAGACATTGTTGTTTTTAGGTGCTATTGAATCAAATACAATTCAGTGACCCTAGGAAACAGCAAACTGGAACCCTGTTCTATACTGTGCTGTCCTCATCCTCTTTGACACACTTGAGCCCACTGCTGCAGTCACTGTGTCTATCCATCTCATGGAGTATCTTCCTTTCTTTCAGTGACCCTCTGTCTTTCCAAGCACGACATCCACTTTCAAGGAATAGCTTCTCCTAGCAGCATGCCCAAACTATGAGAAATGAAACTTTGTCATCTTTGCCTCCAAGGAGCACTCTGGCTGCATTAGGAAAGGAAAGACAACAGACGGGGGACCAGTACTGCAGGGAACTGGCAGCAGCCAATCAGTGAAGATTTCACCAAAGGTGAAAGTAGCTATTTTATACCTTTATATAAACAACTCCCAATCTGTAGTAAAGCTAAGAATTACATAGACTGCTGGAAAATGCCAATAATATACAATGCTGAGTTTAAGGGGGATGAACCACTATCTGCTGCATCCAGTTCCGCAGGCATGGTTAAAAACAATAAGGGGGATGGTCAGCTTGCCTTCATTCTGGAAAGAAACTGGGAAAACAAGTCTAATAAGAACACAGCTAGGCTAGCATGAATGTAGCCATTTTGGGATGTTTATAGACTTTATTTACCTACTGTCATTAACATTTAAACTATACAAAAATGTATCTTTCTCCAGTGTCAGGCAGAGAGGCCATCTTTGTTCTGTGCCTATGTGACTATCCAAGTCCGGGCCCTCAATAAAGCTCTTCTGTATTCCATGATGTGCTCTAGGATATTGTTATTGTTGTGTACCATTGAGTCGGAAACAACCCATAGCTGACCCTCAGGCAGGGGAGGAGTTTGTCCATTTTTCTCCCATGGAACAGCTGGGGGATTTGAACCACGCGCCTTCAGGATTGCAGTGCAGCTTCTTTGCATTAGGCTATGGATAAAATCACACCAAAATAATGTCTGTTAATTTTCTTTTTCAGTTGATCTCAGATTATATTTCCTCAAATATCCTCAAATTCCGAATCTAATTTTATTCTTCCACTGAACTCAGTTATTTGGGGTTTTAGTCCCCCCTTGTTGTGTACCATCAAATATAATTGGACTGATACAGGAGATTTCCCCTCCTTCTCCAGTGGGGCATCTGTTGGATTCGAATCACGAGCCTTTGGGACTGCAACACAGCTTCAGTTGTTGTTTTTGTGTACTGTGATGTTAAGGGTTTATTGTTAAAAATTAGCCCCCCAGCCATTGACTAACTCTGCCATGTAGATGGGGGACGTATGCAAATAGGTTGTGTTAGCTTATCCACAAGGGGGATTTCTAGTTTCACCATTAAATTGAATGGATCCAGCAGCAGCAAAATTGGAGAATCTGACCATCAGAGTAAGGAGCGAGAGAATGCAGGATGTCCTTTTGAATAGAGATTCTTGCGCTAGTCAGACCAGGGCCTACATAGCAGTAGTAATAGCAGCTGCAGCAAAGACATGAGATTAAGTAGACCTTGGGATTTCTACCCCATGGAACCAGACCTAAGAGTTTTGCTGAAGTTTGTTGGAAGCTGTCCTGACTAACTGTATCTTGCTGCCAACCTGAATTATATATAACCTTTTGACTTCCTTAATATTGTTCTCTGTGGTCTGTGAACTATTGCATTGGAATCTGGACCCAGTTAAGCAGTAAAATTGGTGTTGGGATGAGTAGAAAGAGGTACAGGAGCTTGGGGACCATTATCTGACTTCATGGGAAAGGGTTTTGTGTTGTTAATGTTGTTGACAAGGACAGCTCCTCTTTGTGAAGTTGGTAAGGGTCAAATATGGCCATCCTCATATGGTTCTTACTCTTTTTACATGTATCTGCTGTTAAGTCAGAATCAAATCATTGCTGACCCTCTAGCAGGTTTTCAGGGACAGTAACTTAAATGGGAGAAGATTGTCTACCTTTCTCCCATCGCACAACTGGTGGATTCCAACTATATGCTTTTAGGTTGGCAGCACAACTCCTTACCAGTAAGCCAACTAGAGCTCCTCACTGAACTCAGTACTTTTCTGTAATGAGACTTAGAATGTTTTCTCTTTCTCTACTTTCCTATTTATGTATCTAGTACCTTTCTATTTTCCATGTGTTTATTCAATACTCATTAACATGCCTGGAAAAGGTAAACAACAAATATTCTTAAATAAATCAATGAATGATGGGGTTCCCAATACTATTGGGAGAAGTCTCCATCTAAGAGAAGCTGGTTAACTAAACATGAAGTTTTCTTCCTGTACCATAAACAGCATTGAAACCTAAAAGCTGTTATTCTCTGTGGGTCTAGCCTGTGATTACTCATTATAGATGGTTGTTCATGCCCCGCATAGGGTCACTAATGCCCCAAAGGGAGGATCACTGGAGGATGCCCCAGGTATCAAGCCGGAACCATTGAGAGGGTGCCCACGGAGTGAGCGGACGGAAACGGCCGCAATAAGTGCAGGGAACTAGCCGGGCGGAAGAGGAAGTAGCGGCTGAACGCAGTGAGGTGGCAGCTGTTGCAGCGGTGGAGCTTGCGCTTCAGCGGGCACTGGGGTTTGTTTCCCCTCCCCGGCCCTTACTCCTTTCTTATTCTAGGGGCGACGGGGACTGCTCCTGAGAACAGCAGCTCATTCCAGTTCTCTATCCCCTACATCCGTACCGCCCTAGAAGCGCTTGCAGAGCTGGCGTCCGCGAGCCACAGGCAGGCTGTCTTTGGTCCCAGGCACTGGCCCTTTTGATGCTTGCAACTTTCCCCCTCGTCTGCTGGCCAGGGCTTTTGATTCTTTGACGACGACGGGATTGAAAACGGAGTTTTTCCTCTTAGCATCCGAAGGCGGTGCGCGATCTAAATGCCTCTTCCGCCCACTGTCCTTCCTCTTTTTGTTTTGCCCAGTCTCAGCCCTCAAATCAAAGCAGAACAGTCAGAGTTTAGCCCCCCTCCCAGCGTTCTCGACATCTCCTTGACATAACTGTTTTTATTTCCGTTTTGAGGTTAACAGCTCAAATTAACCTTTTGGCATCCTTTCTAGAACTAGAATTTGTTTTTCATCACTGAAGTTGAGCTGGGTCTCCGGCTCATTGAACATGTACATATGCAGAGTGTAATCAAAAGATTTTGGTCCTCTGTTTTTGTGTATGTTAACCCTGATAGAGTCTTAAGGGCTTTTTGGTTCTCTCTCTCTCTCTCTGTGTGTGTGTTGTACCTGGCCTCCTGATAAAACCAGATACTGAATAGCTCACTCACAGCAAGTGTTAACTGAATTTAACTTTCACAAGATAAAGTTGAGGCATGGCCAACATCTTAGCAGCTAGGATTTGGAGAAGGCGGCCATGTAAAATGGCTCCAAAAGTCATTGTGCTCTTTTGAGGAAAATCTTAGTGTTGAATTACCATAACTGTTTAGTTGTGCATTTTGCTCCATGATCATTTCTGACCTGAAGGAAGGGGTTACGCTGGTTCTGATTTCCTCTCTTATACCAGCCTTCAACAGTCATCCCACAGCTTCAGTAAAAGGAATGAGAAAAGATACTCTTCTTTAGGAAAGTCCAAAGCAGACAGGGCCCTAGGATTTGTGGCTATTGTTTTGATGGGTTGTGTGCTTTTCCTTAACCTCTTTTATCAGTTACTGCTCCTTTGCCTTAGACCCAGTCTGCAGCTTTGTGCAGGCTGCCTTTTTGGGTTAGGTTTGGCATTATTGAGTCTTGTTTCCTTCTCTTGCCAGTGGGAGACACACAACATGACTCCATGAAGGAGTGAGATCTGTTATTCAGGCTGAGAATTAGATCTAGCCCCTTAACAGTTGAACCTCAGGGGAAGAAGTGAAGATGGGATAGTCAGGTTCCCTGGGGCATGGTGGGCCTGGAAGCTTCCATGCCATGCTTTGTTGTTGAGGTCACTGACCCCAGGCTCCCTGGTTAAAATATAAGGCTACTCGTGGCCTGGGACCCTCATTCATCCTTGAAGCCGTGCCCTCTCGAGCACCTATATGGCAGGACCCGCCACCATGCGACTGAACTCCTTTTTGGCTCTGCTGCGGCCAGCACTGCCCCTCATCCTAGGTCTGTCTCTGGGGTGCAGCCTGAGCCTCTTGCGGGTTTCCTGGGTCCAGGGAGAAGGAGATGATCCCTGTGTAGAGGTTGCAGGAGATCTGGGAAGGCTTCAGAATTTGGACTCAAGGGCTCGGCTGGACCAGAGTGATGAAGACTTCAAACCTCGGATTATCCCCTACTACAGGGATCCCAACAAGCCCTACAAGAAGGTGCTCAGGTGAGAGAGAGCTCTGTGTGTGCAGTTTCCAGAAGACTACTGATGAGTGTGTTAAGTGCTTGGCACAATCGTGTATCATTCCCCATCATGATTTGTTTTAATTTTCCCCTTTTCTCTTAGATCTAAGAAAATCTCACTAATTGTTAAGTTCATTCAGTGTCCTTGAACAAGGTAAAAATTGCATCTGAGCCAGCTAACCCATCCTTAATAAACATTCCAAAATACGAGCATAAAATACAACTAATCAGTGGATACTATTCCAGTGGCCAATATTAATAAGGAGGTTTTTCTCTTCCTGGTTTTTTTTTTCCAATTTTTTTTTCTTTTGGCTTTTTTCCCTTGTTGTGTACTGTCGAATCAGATCCAATTGGCACAGGAGGATACTGCCCCTCCTTCTCCAGTGGAGCATCTGGTGGATTTGAACCCTGAACCTTTGGGATTGTTGTGCAGCTTCTTGCCATTAGGCCACCAGAGCTCCTGTCTCTTCCCTTTTTTTAACCTAACTAACTTATTGCTAGGGGCATGGGTATGTTGCACAAGCTAATTCTTAAAGATTAGGGAGTTGGCTCCACAAACCATTGGTCTCTCCACAGGACTCGGTATATCCAGACAGAGCTGGGGTCTCGTGAGCGGTTGCTTGTGGCTGTCCTGACTTCCCGAGCCACGCTGTCCACTCTGGCTGTGGCTGTGAACCGCACAGTGGCCCACCACTTCCCTCGGTTACTCTACTTCACGGGGCAACGAGGAACCCGGCCTCCAGCAGGGATGCAAGTGATAGCTCATGGGGATGATCGTCCTGCCTGGCTCATGTCTGAAACTCTGCGCCATTTGCACACACACTTTGGGGCCGACTATGACTGGTTCTTTATCATGCAGGATGACACATATGTGCAAGCCCCCCGCCTCGCAGCCCTTGTTGGTCACCTTAGCATCAACCAGGACCTGTACCTGGGCCGGGCTGAAGAGTTCATTGGTGCTGGGGAGCAGGCCCGGTATTGCCACGGTGGCTTTGGCTACCTGCTCTCACGGAGTCTCCTGCTTCGATTGCGGCCACACCTTGATGGCTGCCGAGGAGACATTCTCAGTGCCCGTCCTGATGAGTGGCTTGGCCGCTGCCTCATCGACTCTCTGGGAATTGGCTGTGTCTCCCAGCACCAGGTAACCTCTCATTCCAGTTCCCAATAAGTTACTAGTGAATTAATGACCTATTTCTCTGTACGCATTGGTCTCTTCCAATCATTGCATCCTTCTGAGTCATAGCTCTGTTGTTTGGTAGGCCCTGGCTTGCCTTGTGCAGATAGCACCCAGGGCTATCAAGGGTAGCATCTTGTCGAAGAACTGTTTGACTAAAACAGTAGTGTGGCTTTAATCACCTGCTCTCCACTGCCCACCTAATAAAGCACAGTTATGGAAAGTCTGCACATTTCCTAGAAATTAACTCTATTATGGAGAGAAGGCCCCCAAAACTGATGTGCTTGTACTAGAGAAGAGAGGAAGATCCCAGATATCCTCCCAAACCATAGTATTGGAAGTACTTTTTTAGTTGAGTCTTTCATTCTCTTGAGAAATGGTGGGATTCTTTTTTGGGGTGGGGGGGATGTTGTTTTGTGCTGTTGATTCGGAACTGACTTATAACTGAGCCTCCAGCTACAGAGGCAGTAATTGGACAGGAGGAGATTGCCCATCTTTCTCCCACTGAGCACCTGGTGGATTTGAACCAAGTGTCTTTGGGATTGCAGTGTAGCTTCTTACCACTAGGCTGCCAGAGCTCCCTGCAAGGGGGGGGGGGGGGGGAAATGTTCTTAATTGCCTGCTTTTGGATTTTTCTCCTTTCCAAAATCCAAGTTTGGAGGAAAGAACATAAGCACTAGGAGACACTGGGCTGAGCCCTCTCCACTCCCTCAGCTTTGAGCATGAGCTGTGGCACTGGTGTGGGGTACTGTGTGGCTAAGGGCAGTCTGTGATAGCCGATCCTCAGCACAGAGTACTGACTTGTCTGTTGGGTCCTTCTAGGGGCAGCAGTACCGTTCATTTGAACTGGCCAAAAACAGGGACCCTGAGAAGGAGGAGAGCTCAACTTTCCTGAATGCCTTCACAGTGCACCCCGTGCCCGAGGGAGCCCTCATGTACCGGCTGCACCAGCGCTTCAGTGCTCTGGAGTTGGAGCGGGCGTACAACGAAATAGAACAGCTGCAGGTAAGCAGAAGACAAGCCAAGGCCGGAGGATTTCAGAGGGGAGGGGGAGGGGCTAGGTGGAGAGTAGAAAAGTGCCAAGCATATAAAAACTTAAAACAACTGCAAGGAGAAAAGGCAGTGATGAATTCCTGGAATGGTCTGCATGCAGCTGAAAGTGAACTGTGAGGGTCAGGAGGCTCAGTTTGAGGTTGAGATAGTGTTTTCACTCCTTTCCACAGAAGTAAGGGAGCTTTGGTGGCAACATCTGTAGGAATTGCACTGCTAACCTCAAGCAGTGCTTCTAGTGGTTCAAATCCACCAGCAGCTCCACTGGATAAAGACGGGCAGTCTCCTCCCATGACCTTTATAGCCTCGAGAATCCCTTGGAGGTTGGCTGTGAGTTGGTCCAACTGGATGGCAATGTTTTTGAGTTTCCACAGAGGAAGCAAAAGCCCTAGGGTTGTTGAACTTGTAGAACAGTACTAAAATGTCAGCCCAGGGTAGAAGTTTCTGGTTGAGTCATGGGTTTTGTAAAGAAACATGGGTATAGTTAGAAACAAGGGTATAGATAGAGAATATGAACGTTTAAGGAGTTGGAGAGAGTGCTGAACTTAGTATTCCAAGATGTTTTCATCTTTGCAAAAGCATTTTTCATTTTCTCGTAGTAATTGTATAGGGTAGGTCTGATTCTGATTTGTACATTTTACAGATGAAGACTGTCAAGTAGGAGTTATTAAATGGCATCTCTCTTAGTGTTGACAGCTAGGACATAGCTTAGCTCTTGGGTTACAGGTCCAGAACCTCCTGAAGCCAGGCAGCGAGTCAGGTAGGCTCCTAAGGGACTTGGTACCCACTGTGCGTTCTTTCCCACCTAGGCTCAGATCCGGAACCTGACCATGCTGACCCCTGAGGGAGAGGCAGGTCTGAGCTGGCCCATCGGGCTGCCAGCCCCTTTCACACCACACTCTCGCTTTGAGGTTCTGAGCTGGGATTACTTCACAGAGCAGCACACCTTTTCCTGTATAGATGGAGCTCCCAAGTGTCCACTGCAGGGGGCGAGCCGGGCAGATGTGGGCGATGCTGTGGACACAGCCGTGGAACAGCTGAATCGCCGCTATCAGCCCCGCCTGCGCTTCCAGAAGCAGCAGCTCCTCAATGGCTACCGGCGCTTCGACCCGGCCCGTGGCATGGAGTATACCCTGGATTTGCTGCTGGAGGCGGTGACTCAGCGTGGGCACCGGCGGACCCTGGCCCACAGGGTCAGCCTGCTGCGGCCGCTGAGCCGTGTGGAAATCCTGCCCATGCCCTATGTCACCGAGGCCACCCGTGTGCAGCTAGTGCTGCCGCTCCTGGTTTCTGAAGCTGCTGTGGCCCCTGCTTTCCTGGAGGCCTTTGCAGCCAGTGTTCTGGAACCCCGAGAGCACGCTTTGCTTACCTTGCTGCTGGTCTACGGGCCCCAGGAAGGTGGCCGCGGGGCCCCAGACCCGTTCCTTGGGGTGAAAGCTGCAGCGGCCAAGTTAGAACAGCGGTACCCTGGGACGAGGTTGGCCTGGCTTGCCGTGCGAGCCGAAGCTCCTTCCCAAGTGCGACTCATGGATGTGGTCTCCAAGAAGCACCCCGTGGATACCCTCTTTTTCCTCACCACTGTGTGGACAAGGCCGGGGCCTGAGGTCCTCAACCGCTGCCGGATGAATGCCATCTCGGGCTGGCAGGCTTTCTTCCCAGTGCATTTTCAGGAGTTCAACCCTACCCTTTATCCACCACGGTCTCCCCCAGGACCACTGGGAGCAGGTCCTGACCCCCCTTCCCCTCCTGGTGGTGACCCTTCTCGGGGCGCCACAGTCGGGGGCAGATTTGACAGGCAGGCTTCCGCTGAGGGCTGCTTCTACAATGCGGACTACCTGGCAGCTCGAGCCCGGCTGGCTGGGGAACTGGCGGGCCCGGAAGAGGAGGAAGCCCTGGAGGGGCTGGAGGTGATGGATGTTTTCCTCCGGTTCTCAGGGCTCCACCTCTTTCGGGCCGTAGAGCCAGGCCTGGTGCAGGAGTTTTCGGTGCGAGACTGCAGCCCCCGGCTCAGTGAGGAGCTCTACCACCGCTGCCGTCTCAGCAACCTGGAGGGGCTGGGGGGCCGTGCCCAGCTGGCCATGGCCCTGTTTGAACAGGAGCAAGCCAACAGTACTTAGCACACCTGGGGGGCCTGCACCTCTGTGCATTTCCCTTTTCCTGCTTGGGTAAGACAGATGGACAGTGAAGAACTTGGTGGTTATTTTTCTAATGAGAAAATATTATTAAAAGTGTCTTCTGTCAGACTCTGTTTGGGCCTAGGGAAAATGGAATGAGAACAGTTCAGGGAAGATGGGGAGAGCTTTTCCAGAGGGACCCTGTAACTTCCCCTTCCCCATCACCAATAACCACACAGCTGCCATCCGAGGAATGACCTTTAATCCCGTGCCCAGCCTCACACAGGTGACAGGAGTCGAGAACAGGCCCCGGCCCAGAAGGTCCATAGTCGTAATCATTCCCAGGGGCTTCTAGGTATTGCGCACAACCAGTGACTGCTCCAATTCCTGCCTACGCTGCTGGATCTTTAGACAAAGAGCAGGAGCAGGTTAGGTCCTGGTGAGCAAGTGGGGGCACCCTGATTGCCGACTGCCTTTTGCCTCAGGAGGGTTTCTGGGAGTAGGGAGAGCTGCACAGTGGAGGGAGTACACTGCCAGTGTCACTCGCTGCAGTGGGCAAGGGCAGCTGGCAGATCTGAGGATGGCAATGTCTCCAGGGTGGAGGGGCAGAGACGTGTGGAGCACGGGTGACACCACCTACCTTGCAGTAGAAGTAGCGGCTAACTGCTTCCTGGGACCAGGGCTGATGGTAGAACTCAGCCCGCCGTTCCTCTTCAGGGTTGCCTGTGACATCTGTCATCACCTGGGAAGGAGCCATAGAGGTCAGCCCTAAGCAATCACCCACCCTTTGCCTGTATAGAGCAGTTACTGGTCTTCCACGCCAGCTATCCCTGAGGCTCCCCCTTCACCTTAAGGTCCCGGCTCTGGGAGCGGAGGAGATCTTGAACGTAACCTTTGGGGTCTCTGGAGAAACTTAGCATGAAGTCCCTCTGGATCTTGAGCTGGTTTATGGACTCGATCGTTTCATGGATCTACAGGTAGACAGACATGTTCTCAGGCTGGTGTTGGTGAGGAGAGTAAGAGGAAGTGGTGAGAAGTGGAGGGAATTTATTTGAAGGTCAGCTCCTTTGAGCCCCTCCTTCTAAAAGAAGTGGGGATGGCCTGGGCAGGACAAAGTTAAGGTGTGGTAGCAATTGAACAGCCATTTGTTCCTTTCCTCAGTAGGCTTATGCCCAGTCTAATTATTTTTTAATATTTTATTGTTTCTAGTAAAAGTTTGAGATTGAGATTGTTCACAGCTTTAGTTTGCTCGGCTCCATGGTCAAAACTCTTGGCACCAGCAGCCAGGAAATCAAAAAACGTATTGTGATGGGAAAGTCTGCGGTTAGGGACCTCTCTAAAGTACTCAAGAGTAACGGTGTGTCTCTGGAGACTAAGGTGCGTCTGATACAGGCCGTGGTCTTTGCAATCACTTGTTATGCATCAGAGAGTTGGACAATGACTAGGGAGGATAGAAGGAGAATCGATGCCTTTGAGCTGTGGTGCTGGAGAAGAGTGTTAAATGTACCATGGACTGCCAAGAAAACAGATTCATCCTGGAGAGGGTTAAACCGCACTACTCCTTGGAGGCAAGGATTCTGGGGCTTCGTCTGACATACTTTGGACATGTTGTAAGGAGGGACAGGTCCTTGGAGAGGGACATCATGCTTGAGAGGGTGGAGGGACAGCGCAGGAGGGGAAGACCCTCTATGAGGTGGATTGATTCAGTGACTGGGGTAATCGGGATGGGTGTGTCAGAGGCAATGCATTTGACACAGGATAGAGCACAGTTTAGGGCTGTTGTACACAGGGTCACCTATGAGTTGCAAGCCACTCGATGGCACATAATAATAACAACAACAACAACAACAGTAAAAGTTTACATATATCAAATGAAGTTATCATTCAACAGTTTCTATGCATGTAATCCTGACATTGGTTACATTTGTAACAATGTCAGTCTCATATTTCCATTCTGATTCCCAACAGATTAGGTTTTCCTCCCACCTCCCTTTTCCTTCTCATCTTTGCTTTAGGGTTAATGTTGAATTTAGTCTCATATAGTTAGGGGTTTGGTGTTTTGTTTTTTTTTTTAAAGAAACAGCACAGTATTCACAGGTGATACTTATTTAAGAGCTAATCTGTGCCCAGTCTGTTCTAAGCCTGTCACTTCCATGCCACTTCTGGGCTGTGGCCTCACCTTACTGTCCAGAGCGCTGATCTCCTGCTGATTGGCTGTGGACAGGAGGAAGCTGCTCATCTGCCCCTTGAGTGGCTCCTCCACCTCCACATCAATGTCATAGCAGGCCGTCTTTTTCTGGTCTGATGGGTCCACACTGCCAGGGAAGTATAGCCTTTGGTGTCCAGGCTGCCCCACAAACACTGGGCTAGGCAGGTCCAGTGGAGCATGAGGGGCAGGAAGGCCGGGAGAAGGTACTTCCTCTGAGGAGCAAGCTGGGGCAGTCTCACCTGATGACATGGTTGATGACAATTGGGTCAGGGGGTAACAGCAGAGCTGTGAGGCGCTGGGGAATCTCAGAAAACTTGAGTCGAGGACAGTCAAAAATCTGAAGCAGGTGAATTTGGGAAGATAAAATCAATCTTTTCTTGGAGAGAACAAAACTGCAGTTTTAGATTCTTTCACTGGGAAGAGGCCAGCTGATTGCTCCTGGCTGGTGGGCCTGGCTTCCTGGGCAGGTGGTACAGCAGTGAAGGAGGGCAGTGTGCTGCAGGGCTGAGAACTTGGGCCATGTCTGTCTAGTATCAGCCCTGTTTCCAGCACCTACACTGTGGCTGTGAACAAGTTTCCTTATTTCTGGGCTGGGGGTGACAACACCTGACCCACAGGGCAGTCATGAAAAAATGAACGAATACATGTGGAGTCCCTGGAACAGCAGCCGGCCCAGCGGGGGTGGGGGGTGGGGGTGGGGCAGGGCAGGCTATAGAAACGGCACCAGCTCTGCCCGCTCCTCGGGTTCATCTGCTGTGTTTACTTAGAAATGCCCCCCAAATGGTCACCTCTAGTTTGGCAGAATTTTGTTAAATTGCTTTCACAGCAGTTTGGACTTACTAATTGTCTCAGGTGAAGAGAGGCCTTGGTCTCTTAGCCCCAAGTCTACAACTGTCTCCTGTTTCTAGCAGTCAGGAGTCTGAGTAAAGGTGTGGTGTTACCTTTGAGAAGTTCTTGCTGTTGATAAATGCCTGCTCCCTGATCTCTGGGGTCAGGAGAGAGGTTACCTGTTGGAAGTACTTGTCCCCGTTGATGTACTCCTTGTCGTGAGAGTCCTGCAGCCTGTTGGTTTTTACGTACTGCCACAGGGCCTGGACGATGGCTGAGCGGCTCTGTGTATGCAGTCCCAGGAGCCGGGCCAGGCGCGGGTCCAGCTTGAACTGGGGAGGCTGGGGAAGGGTGGCCAGGAAAATGAACTCATTTTAACTCTTTAACTAAAGAGGGGTGAGAAGAACCTGGGGCCTGGCTGCTTGGGATACAGACTAGGCTCCTTGGAAATATGCTTTTGGAGAGGGACGAGAGAGGAAGGAGACCGGGGTTCCAGGATGCACACCCTGGCTAGGCCCACCCTGGCTACAGCAGGCCCAGGCTGGTGCCGGCTGGTGCATGGCACAGTGACTTGGTGCAGAGTGGGCACAGACCTGGTAGTCCAGCATGAGGAGGAGGGTGCAGCGCACGCTCAGGTCCCCTGGCCTTTTCACCTGGAACCCGTCTGTCTCCTGGGTGGTGGGTGTTCGGTGCCACTGTCCCAAAGGGTGAGAGTTAACTCACAGCCCAGGTCCACTTGAACTGGCTTTAGAGTGGTCCCTGACCCGAGTTTGAAGACCCCTTAGAGTTGGTGGGGATGTTGGCCTGGGTATTTAGGGACTTGGAATTTAGGGACTTGGCCTGTGGCAGGGTACCAGCCAGGGGCAGTTCTGGCCTTAGTCTTACCTCAACTAGATGGTTGTCAGGGCCATAAAGGTCTTTGTCCAGCTCTATGACCAAACTCTTAAAGAAGGACGAGAACTTCCGCTTCTGCTTGCTGGGCTGTGGGGCAGAACAGGGACCGTGGGGGCAGAACAGGGACCATGGGGGGCAGAACAGGGACCGTAGGGGGTAGGAGAGGACCGAGTTGAAGGGTGGGTCTGGTAGGGCAGGACAAGAAGGAGAGATGCAATCCTCTTAACCCACTCGCTGTTTGGCCTGCCCACCCCCAGCACGCACTTGATCTGTCTCAGTTCAGCCCCATACCCACCCCAGGACACCTGGAGAGACCTGGGCCAGGACGTACGTCATCCAAGAGTTTCCCCTCCACCCGCAGTTCCCAGGAAGCTATGCTGCCATCAGAATCCTCAGCATCAGGCTTTGCGGGGTTAAAAGTATTGGAGATATAAAGACGAAGCTTGCGCTTTTGCTGTGGAAATAAGGAGTGTAGTACAGAGCAGATACTGTGATCATGCCCCGGAGCAGCCTTGCAAACACCCCCTCATCAGTGTTGGGAGTGGCACTTAGAGCCCTCTTTCTGCTCCCAGACCAAAGCACCTTCATTGGCCTCTTCAGAGCCTCCTGGATATCCACTCGCTTCCGCATGATGGTCTGATCCAATTTCCTCTCAAATGCTAGGAGGTCCATATATGCCTGTGACTCTGGGACCAACTCCCGAATCTGTAGAAGGAAGAGCGGGGCAGCGATTCAAGACTCTGCCATCTCTTAAGTTGTGTGTGGGCCTGCCAGCCATGCCGTCCCAAGGCATAAGATGGGAGGAATTCATCCCGTTCCAGGGCGTGGACTGTGAGAAGAGCTCTCCAGGATTCTAGATCATTGGCAGGACCTTCAGTTTGTACAGAGAAAAACTGCATCACCCCCAGGGAGGCTCATCATCATCACTAAGTGAGGAAGTGGCAACTGTGAGGTCCACCAAGAGAGGGTGCAACTGCCTCATCTCACCATTCCCTTTGTGGTGTGGCTTTCCTGGGGCCCTTGCAAAGTGGCTTCCGGTTCCACAGTCCCAGATGCAGTTGGGATGCAGTTGTGTGTAGTATTGCTGCTTGCTTCTGCCCTGGAACCTCCCCAGGTTCCTGCACTGAGGTCTGAGCTCTGCTATCCCCTCCTAGCTCAGCCTGGGCCCTGCGAAGCCTCTGGTCAGCTTCTGTTTCTCCT